CGGATGCGATGCTTCGGTGTAGTAAAGTCTGCCTCACCAGCACAATTACACTCACGCATTTCACTCTGCAACCTTGCGTGAGAATCAGTGAGATGGCCTCTGTGAGTGCACGACGCAACCGCCTCGTCGGAGGCGGAGACTCAGCACGCAGAAGCGGATTCCGATCCTGCCCGAGATCTTCCAAATCCCTGCTTTTGTTAAGAGCTGGTAGCCAGCCGGCCTGTAGCGGACTATTGAAAGCTGGCCGACGAGTAGGGGAGGCCAGAAAGCGACGAAGAAGCGCAGGTGTCCTGCATGCTATATTATTACTTGCTCGCTGGCTGCAGCCGTCACTGCCAATATGTTCGCAAGCACAGTCCTGTCTGAGCGGCGCGCGCCCCCAGCTTGCATGCATGTGTAAATACGTACTTATGTCCTTGTAGTGCTATGGCTTACGAAAAAAACTGACGAGCTGTGAAGAAAAACTCGATGTTCAAGGAAACCGGTGACAAACAGTTGCCATGGCCTTGAGCCAGGCTGGCACAGGCTGATTTTCGCTTTCAAAAGTAGACGCAGCCAGCTCGGTCTGAGATTCCCTACCAGTCGGCTGTTGATGCCGTGCGAAGCTCTGATGGGTTCGGGCTTTAAGGGTTTCGGTCTTCTATCTGAACCAAGAATTCCGGTCCGGCCTCATCCTGCCAATGGCATCGATGTCGAGAGATCGTCGAGGAAGATGTTGCCAGAAACCGCTGGCTCGTCGAGACGACTTAAACTAAGATTTCGGGAGACTTATGTGCCCCTGAATAGCTAGCATAGTGACTGACAGAATCTGCAGGAGACGAACTATATATTCACCTATGAAGTTACACTTGCGTAGTAAACAAACAGCGAACCGTCGGAACCGCAGAACCGGAACCGCAGAACCGGAACCGCACAGAACCGAACCGCACAGAACCGAACCACACGGAACCGAACCGCACGGAAACGAACCGTGGCCATGCTGCTTTTTCGGCATTGCCTAGTGGCCATTTCAGAGAAGCAAGCAATGGCAGGTACGCGCTCGGACGTCTCCAAGTGTATCAGCTATCATCCTGAGCCCTCTTCGTTGGGCAACCAACTCAGGTGATAGGGTTGCCCCCGTGGTTCTGAAAGTATGAGCAGTCAACAGGTCCTCACCAAATCCCTCAGCATAGAGTCAAGGTGTACACACACACTGATGGATTTCGGCAAAGAGAAGAGGTCGAGACAGCAAAGTCGGTTAGGGCAGGGTGTTGTAGTTCGACATGACGCTTCACACTCGACGGCTGCTGCAACTGTCCGCTCTGTCCTGCTATCCGTCATCCGGCTATAGCCAACAGCGAGGACAACCAATGCACAGCGAAGATGCTAGATGCTTGTTTACGTTCAGTATCACGTGTAGGTACGCACAGTTGATCAGACTGTGCCTCCAGCTTCAAGCATAGCTTTGTTAGGCAGCGTTTGCTTCAAGGCCGCTGCCCCCCTGCAAAATGTGTATGGTCATGTTGTGTTCTACTGCAAAAGGAGTGACCCTCTGTTCCCATGTGCTAAAAAGTTCGCACGCACACACACACACACAGAGCTCCAAAGGGCATAAGCCATGTTCACAACTTTGGATTGTCAATCGGGATAATTGGCAATGTGCCATTTAGGGCATATCGGATCGAACTCCGGTTGCCGGTAACCCCAGTGGTCAACAGCACCACGACTAAGAGCCCGGCTTGGCATCGACGCCGACGGCTCGTAAGAAGCAAGGCACGTCGTCGACGAGTCCACGCAGCTCGTGAAAGGGGTATACGCCCCGCGCAGCGTGACCTTTTGCTTCTAAGCTCTCACCATAGTGCACCGCAATATCGTGAGCTACGGCCTGCATTCAACGTCTACATGGGCGGAAAGAGCAACAAGCGGTGGCAAAGGGATTACCAGGAGTCATGGCGCGGCAACCAGTACTACGAGCAGGACTCAAACTGGCAGCTTTGGCAGGGGTCCTATTCGGTTTCACCGAGGGCTCGGGCCAAAGCCACGGCTCGGCCGCCTGCGAGATACGATATGGTTACACCGGAGGAGCCGAGCGAGGCTGCGCAAGATCAAGGAATCGATAGCATTGCGACGCAAGCAATGGGAGAAATTCGAGAAGGACAGCAAGGCATACTTCCTGTCCCAGAAATGCCAATTCGAACAGGACATCAAAAGATTGGAGGACGAGATTGCGACTGTGACAGATACGGGCACAGGAGCAGAGAGGTTGCTCCAACAGATTGTCCTGCAGAGTGCTTCGGAGGAGGCCGAGACCGAGGAGGCCGACGATATGTCTTGGGAACAACTCATGCAGGAGCCGGAAGAGGAGACTCCAGGCTTTCTGAACGACATGATGCGAAGGTTGCGGCCAGTTCGGCGAGATGGAGCCCTACCCTCGGGCGCAGATGCTCTTCGGACAGTGAAGCTGAAGACGGGAAGACCGGCAGAAGCTTTGCCTTCCACTTACATTCCGGAGGCGCCGCCGAGGGAGCCTTTTGCTACCTCGCCAGGGAATCCTACGACAACGCATGGTTTGGCTGCATCGGGCGCGAGCCCCCCGGGGCAGTCCAGGCAAGGCCGCCGCCCGAGCCACCGGCTCTAGGAAGCGTCACTCTGGGAGACAAGCTTGCAGCAAAAAGACAAGCATTGAAGCCTTTCGGTGGGACTCCCAGCGAAACAAGTGCACCGACTGTTGCTGCAGCTTGCGCGGCCCGAGGATCCGAGGAGGCAGATCGGCCGCCGGGACCTGTGCCAGTGGAGGGGAGTCTCTCTTGGACGAGGACATGCAGCAGGATCAAAGCCTGGAACGTCTGTCTTAACTCTCACTGGACATGCGAAAGTTCAGTGGCCTGCCGGTGCATGGCTTTGTCTGGTGGGGCCGAGCAGATTGGTGGACTCTTGTCCTCCATCTGCTCAGTTCCCCTTCGGGCAAACCTGGCACACGTGCATCCTCACTGATCAACAGAGTGAGCATTGCTTCGTCCTTGAAGGTTGTACAGAGGCGTTTGAGGACTTTGTCTGTTCTTCTGGTTTCCCTATTGGAACCCAGGATGGCTATGTGTACATAGCTTCGATTTGCAGTTTTTCAGGGCTTGTCGTCCCATCTGAAGATCTTGTCAGCATCGTTTCGAATCGAATTGTGTCGCCATCCGGCGGCCTGGCTTCAATCGAAGAGGTGCAGGTGCTTGCCAGGGATGTAATCAACACTACCGCCATGGCGAAGCATGAGGAATATCCTTTGGATTCCTCTCACGACAGATCATTTCGAACGATACCGAAAGTTGCGGGTAGGCTGGTGCCAAAGAGGCATATCGGTGGCTCGGGGATGCCCACCAGCCAGGCCGCAGGTGAGGTACTTCGGATTAGTTTTGCGGGGCTGTGTTTTGCGTGTGCAGCCCTTGCCGAAGCCATTATTTCATTTGCTTGAGGACTCGCACTTAGGTCACCCTTTCACTGTGCCATTTGCTTTTGCGAGCTGTGCCAGGTAGAAGGTCCATTTTTGGCGGAGTTGTGGGTTTTCCGTTCGAGTGGGCACCAATCCGCCTGGCTTTAGGTTTCAAACCACTTAGCATTGCACAGAATGCAGACGTCGCAGCCACAGGAGTGTGCTCTGGCAGCACCTCCTCTTCCAAGTGCAGGAGCATGCGAACCTGCTCTACTCGTCAGGTTTTTTGCAACGAATTGGGGAGGCTCTCTCTTGCGCTGGCAGCTGACGCAGGGCAGCCCGGCGCTTGCTTTTCGTTTCACCTTTTGAATTCATTAGCATGTGGTACGTTCCAACCGGGACTTAGCACCGCCTGAAAGAAAGAAAGAATGTGCCATTTTTCCTTGCATTGCAAATATGGTGAGCCGCATTACTTGCGGATGTTGCTTGACGTTTCTGTGAAGCGGGGTGAAACATAGAGCGGAAAGAAAAAGCGCTTGTACTGCCATCTGCTCAGCTGGAAAGCGGTAATGGTCACAAATGTCCAGTGTCTGAAAGATCTGTTGCGAAGTAGATCTTGAGGTTGGGTGGTGTTCGTGTGTCCGTGGTGCGAAAAATTGTTGGTAGGTTGGAAATGCTGGTGGGAGGTGAAAGGTGGTGGCTGTGGTACTGTGGAGGTAGTTGTAGTTGTGTTTTGGTATCTCGAATCTGCAGGTGGCAAAAGCGGCAATTGCAGCGATGAGCTTAAGTGGCATCGTCATCTCCATGATGGCTCGATAGCGCTTGCTGTTGTACGCAGAAGATGGATCATGTTGTTGGCATACAGCGGAATTCTGGTGTGCCAACGAAAAGTTCTTGTTGTGGTTGTCCCCACGTGCTCGCTTCCTCCTGAAAGCCCAAAGCCGGGGAATTGCAAAGAATTTGATGATCTCTGCCAATGGGAGCTGATGAAATTGGCAGTGGTGTTGTCCCCTGCTGGCTGCAAGCCCGACATGCTGGTGGGCTTGTTCACGGATGCATAATGTGATCCCCGAAACGGCTGCGGTATGTAAGACAAGTCCCATGCGGCATTTGCAGGCACAGATGGTTGATCCGAACACCCATCCCGTCTTGGAATAGCTTCGTTGGCACAGGTATCCAAGACAGGCCTGTTCCCCCTGCTGAAATCATGTAATCCGACGCTGCAATCGCTGCAGTCAATAAGCTTCCACTGGAGAGTGACCTCCCTTAGCCCATGAACGAGGACCGTTCACACACACCCCCACACCCACACCCACACCCACCCACGCGCGCACACCAAGCACACGCGCGCCTCGAAGGTGGCGGCGGCTCCCCCGGCTTCGGCTCCCAACTCCAGGGCCGCCGAGAGCTGCCACTGCGAGGACAGCACCTCGGAATCGACGCAGCGCCGGCAGAGCAGAGAGCCCTCGCCGCGGCCGCGCATCGCGCGCGGGGCTTCGCTGCCTCTCGCTCCAAGTCCATACGATGCTCGGGCAGCAGGCTGGACCTAGGTTTCCGCTTCATCCCTCAACGCCTGTCGCGAACTGCTAGGGATCGGGGCTGCAGGGAGCAGCGCGCCTGGACCATGGTGACCTCAAGGCCAACACGAAGAGAAGAGGTTGTTGTTGTTTCTTTTTCCAGGGAGCCCCGCCAAGCGGTGGCCGTAGCCCCAGGGCATGGCTTCCAAACTCGCAGCAAAGAGAGTTTGGCTGCATGGGAAGAGCCTGCTGAGCGCCCGGGCGCCGTCTCTTGCCAAGACCTGAGACGAAGGAGAGAAAAGCCGTTCTGGCAGCAGAGGAGGGCAGCCGGCAGCAGCCGGCCGCCGGCAGCGGTGGGGCGCGGGCTCGGGGCGAAGCGTCGGCAGCAGTTGCTGCCGGCGAAGCTCCACGAGCTCCTCCAAAGCTTGATGCGTTTTGTTGCAAGAGTTTCGGCCCTTCCTCGCCGAGGCTCTCGCCTTCGCTTCCTCCTCACCTTCGCTGTCGTCCTCCGTGTCTTCCGTGCCGGTGCCTCGACGTGGCTAAAAATCTGGTGTGCCACGCTGCCACGCCATGCTTTCAAGGCTCCCGACGCAGCCCCAGGTAGCATGTAGGTGTTGGTGGAGGCTGGTTCTGGAAGAGCTCGATCTGCAGACTCAAGGTCCATCGGTCGTCGGAAAGGATCCGCTGTATTCGAGGCCTCATCGAAGACAAAGAGAGATGGGAGACTTCGCCCGCGGCGGGCGCGGGACTCAAGTGCGAAAACTCTGAGTCCTCCACGGGCGCCTTGGAGGAGCCTCGAGGCAAGGGCGCGGCGCACACGCACGCACAAAAACGAGAGAAGCTTCTGTCGGTCGCCGGGGGCGCAGCGAAGGCCACAGCACAGGCTTCGGAGACGCCACCTCTGGGACTCTAGGGAAGCTCCCTGCGCCCTCTGCTCATCTTGCTCTGCTCTCTTCCCCTGGGCTTTTTCTAGCGGCCCTAGCTGCCTGCCCAACGGCAAGGATGGGCTGCAGCGCGGTCGACCACGCAAAGCCGGAACCTGCGACTTTCCATGGAGTCCATGAACCCCATGCCCGGAGTTCTGCACTCAGACTTTTCAACGCGGAGGGACAGTTCTACATGTCTCAAGAAGTCGAGAGGCCCTCGAATCCCTGCGTCAGCAGCATCTTCTCTCTTTAAAACCACAGAAGAAATCTCTGTGAGGTCCAGTCTCTCGAAACTGGACGATTGGCCGGATGCTGCAACTACGTAGATCTTTGTCATGAAGATGCATCGGATTTCATTGACCATGCAAACGAGCAGTTGCGACGCCTGACCTGGAGGCATCGGGCACTGCAGCACTTGAAGCCGGAAAGAACCGCAACGTGTCGGACTGGAATATCCTTCCAAAACATGTAATTTCTCCAGCTTCCTCTCGTGCCCGAGTGATGACGAGAAGTGACTTTGAAATGACGTTTGAAGTTTGCTTCATGCATGTTGGGAGTGATTTGTCCTGAGCCAACTACGTGGGGCTTTGCACACTCTGTAGGCTGCGTGCGACGCAGACTCTACTCCTCCAGAGTGACACACATGGTTCTGAATTTACCGCCGCCGCACCACTGCGAGAACTATAACAAACTCCGGAGGTTTGTTTCCTTCGTGTAAACTTCGTGTAAAGGTGTGTGGCACCTATATTCATGCGGTGACTGCACCTCACCGCGTCCGGCATTGGCCCAGGTTGTCCAAAAGCCGGCATCACAGCCAGGACAATGACCTGAAGTTGCAGAAACCACAGCGGGCCCTGGTCAAAAGCAGGCAAGCAACGATTGCATCTTGTATTTTGCATTTTGTTTTAGCGGTGCCTTGGAAGGCGCCGGAGATGTCGCGGCCTCCTTCAGCTCCCCTGTGCGAAGTACAGTGCACGCCCCTCTTCGAAACTCACAAGAGAGTCTCTTCTACGACCGGTCCCCCACAGCCTGCGGCAGCGCTCGGAATCTCTTGCAAGCGGTGCACCGTCGAGACGCGCTTCCACACGCCCTCCTCTGCAACCAACAGTGCGACACATCCACGTATAAACACACACACATACATACATACATACATACATACATACATACATACATACATACATACATACATACATATATATATATACACACATGCATGTTTACACTATACAGAGGTACATATCTGCATGCACATATATAT